TTCTTGAGCTAAAAATAAAAATGTTTTCTGATTGTGAAGTTTTTGTTTTTGTTTCTTTTTTTCTCTTTTTTTTTTTTTTTTTTTTTTTTTTTTTTTTTTTTTTTTTTTTTTTGCATTTTTATCGTTACCAGGAAATGCATTGATGTAATACACGCATTTCAGCATGCTGCATGCTTCCCAGAAAAACTTAAAGGCCACAAATCCCCAAAGAATCTTGACCAAAGAGTGATTCAATAAACCCGCTTTTGGACAAGTTTTCGTCGTAGTTGCGATTACTAATTTCAGTAGCTCTCAAATATCTTAAAGATGTAAAATCGAGTATATTATTTGCGATGCATCTATCCATCTCTCTATACATATTTGAATAGATGTGTGTCTATATGCCCTATTTGCTTGAATTAGAACGAGAGAGAGAGAGAGAGAGAGATAGCTAGGGAGATTCACTAGCATCTACATAAATTACTTAGATTTATAGATAGATTCTCTTTTTTCAGTCGGACGGCAGAACATCTCTGATTAAGGCCTCAGCTAAGTGGCCCACTTGCCACAACAGCTTACCGTTAAATGCTGCAACTATGTTAGCCAGCTAATTAGAATACTCGCTCTTAATTCACGGCTAGACTGTGAATGGCCGTCACTTAAAAGTCAAGTGCTCAACAGGCCAAACTGTGAACGCTGCAAGTTTTTTTTTTTGTTTTTGTTTTTTTCTGGTTCAGAAAAAGCTAACTGTTAAAAAAATAACTGCTGTATTTGCATGGCCAAGTCCAAGAGCAACAAAAATATAAAAAAGTCGAAAAAAAAAAATTGTGATTTATGCTGAAATAGAATGAAATGAAATGCACACTCGGAACATTGACCCAAATTTCCGAAATCGCCCTGAGAAAAGATGCTTCAAGATCATAGGTCTTCCTCTTCTGTTTTGTGTTTTGCTCTTCGGAGTTGCGCAAACATTGCATAAGAATGCCAAACAACAGCCGTTAAAAGTGAATCTTCCCCAAAAAAAAAAGAAAAACGGAAAACCGATTCGATCGAATTACAAAACTAATTTAAGACCGGGGGAAAACCTAGAGACAGTTGTGCCAACAACAAATGTTGGATACGTTTTCCCAATTTCCATTTTCATCGTGGCACGTGGCCACAGACAAAAGGTGCAAAAAAAGGAAAACCCAAATGAAGCGCAACGAATTTGATAGCTACAAAAAATGATGATGAAAAGGAAAATCCATTTGAAAAGTGAAAACGGAAGCGCCAAAAAACAGCCGCATATCCGGCCGGCAACAGAAGGTCCAGCACTTTGGGTGGAGGAGGGGCTCACGAAAATTTCTAGGTAACGGCGCATTGTATGTGTGTGTGTGTATGTTAAGTGAAGCAGTTAACATTAAGATTAACATGAATATTAACATGAGGATCAACGCCAGCTTGAGCGCCAGCTCGTGCCACAACAAGAAGGGTTGCTTCACCGCGCGTGCTCGCTCCAAGCGTGCCGGAAGTCCTTTTTAATCGAAGGCGAGGCGGGGCTGCTGCTGCTGTAGCTGCTGCTGCTGCTACTGCAATAAAACGAAAGGATTTATATTTCCCATTGTCAACTGCTGCGCCAGCTGACTTACCTATCCTTTAACGCACACCTCTTCTTCTGCCCTATCCTTTTTTTTTTTTTTTTTGGGTAAAAAAGGTGGAAAACTGCAATTCTGCAACAATTTTGAACACATTTTTTTGTTGCCGACTTGGAAGACGTCTTGGTGTATCGCATTTCGCGGAAGCAGACGGCTGCTTTCGCTGACTCATGCCGCAAGACGTTTATCCTTTTTATGAGCGGCCCCGGCTTAAGCCTTGTCCGGCTTAGGCCACTGTCAAATGTCACGTAAAGTGGGCTGTGGCCGTCGTCGGCGTCGCTGAGCTCAAGGATCATTAATTATGCCGCTTATGGCACATCAAGTTATTAGCCAGGACAAACAGTTAACATGTGTATTTGCCCAGCTACTTGTGGGCCAAGTTTTTGGCCAAGTCATTCGAACGAACAAGAAGATGAAAATCAATTAGCTGCGGCACGCAAATGTAGGTGGAGCCAAGTGGCAAGGATCTCAATAAAATGCCAACCAATAGGCAAGCGCGATACCTGCCTAGCATAGACACGAGCACACACACACACAGGCACAGACACACATACACACTTACGCTCACAGGAAGATCGTCGCGCACTCACACAACGACAGCGGCATAACGAGGGCACTCGATCGTGTCGCAGTTTGACAAAAACAGCTGTTTTCTGAATGAAACCCAGGTGGAGGCGGCCAGCTCTCTGTAAAGGCACATATACATAACTATAGAATCATATGTATGTATATATATAGAGTGGTGTGTGTGTGTGTGTGTGTGTGTGTGTGTAGCCCTCATGCCTTTAGTCAGCCATAAAGAGAGCGCACGCGAGAGCGAGAGAGGTTTATGAATGAACATAGCACGCTCGTTCAGCGCATTGTTCGATTTTTCAAGAGCAACAACTAAGAGCAACGCACACACACATATTCACCTTCACACACACACACCTGCCCAGCTATCGCGCTCTTTTGCACACACACGCACACACAGTGCAGCCGGCTCGACGTGTTTAAGCTTCCGACGTGCCTCGCTCTCTAGCACTCCAGCTCTCTCGCTCTTGCTCTCTCCCTCTCTCTTTGCCTCTCTGTGCGCTCAGATTCATATAAATAACGCTGTATGGACAACGTCTTGAATCATAAGATCGACAACGTTCGACGAGTGCAGAGATCAGAGCGAAGTTTAACAATTTTCATTGTTGTAAAAAACTTGTGTGAAGTTTTTTTGTAGTTTGATTTACGCGTTGTGCGGCAGCAAAAATTTACAAAAAAAAATATATATCTAAATAGAAACAATACAAATTTTTTTGCTCGATTTAATAAGCAAATGCAAATAACAATAAGCAGACATCAGCTTAAATTATATAAACAATAAAAGAGCACACAATAAAAGTATTTAATGGATTTCAAGTGTCAGTGACTCGATATTTATATATA